TTTTTTTTTTTCTTCAGAATTCTCACCCTAATTCTTAGTATTGGGCTTAGAAAGAGGATTTTGGTGTTCTGTATGAAACTAGCATTGTTTTGTTGAGTTACCAACTCAGTGGCTCTCAGACCTAACAGTTTTCTTTTGGCACGGGGAGAGCTGTTTGACAGCAAGCTCAGCAAGAGATCTCTAGCTTAGGGCAATGTTTTTATGAAACAGGTGGGACAGTTCCATCTTTTCTTTGCTGTGGGGCATTTTATGTTAAAATAATCCCTGTCATTAGGTTATGCAAGGTGTTGCAGTGCAAGGACAAAAACAATGGAACAGCATTTTCACTGCTGTCTTTCCATGTCTGAAGGTGTCTGGCTGCTCTCCAGGGCAAGGTGGTTGTGACCCACAGCTTTCCTGGTGATAGATATCTTTCCTTGCATTAATAAGTGGAAGGCTTAGTAATCCTTTCTGTAGAGGCACTGGCTGATTCTAGGCGAATTTCATATACAAATGGTTTAGGGTACAGGCAGCACCCCTGAAGTTACAGCATTCTGTTGCATGATCAGATTTTAGCACTGGAGCAACACTCTCTTCCCGTAGCTCAGCCCTTTATTTGTCTCAACTTTCATTAGCACTGTGTTCCGGCCGGGTCTGGAAAAGCAGGGGAAGCAACCCCTAGGATTAAGCAACAGATGTTTTAATTCACGATGCTTATTTGCTCTCTAACCAACTCTTGTATCTTCTCGTTGAAGGAGGGATCTTATGCGTGGGATGAGAGACCACCTTTTTCAGTGAAAGCAAGAAACGCCTCCAGTCCTGGTGCAGTTGTGCTTCTGTCCAGCCCCAGCCATAGTTTAGAGCAGGCACAGACAAGGGTGCTCTGTTTTTGCCTGCTGCCATTAGCCTGAAGGAGCTGACAACAGTGAATACCTAAAAATTCCTTGCTCCTCTCCTTTTCTCCACCCATGCTCCCTACGGAGGCAACAGGAGCACAGATCAAAGTGGAAGATCCTACACCACTTCTGTAGCAGTGAGAATCACTCTGTGCTGCCTTGGTGCCAAGACATGCTATCGGTTTCCTCTGCTTCTGCCCTGGTCTTATTCCTGCACAAGGACTTCAGCCTATTAAACAGTCTTTTCCTGTGGCATGGGGTGACGAAAGTCAGAAATGAAAGGAATGTTTTCCTAAGACTTGCTGGTTTTATTTAGTTTGGTTCAAAATAGACCTCTGACAAGGATAATAATAAAAGTCAGCAAGACGCTATATTAAGGTGGACCTGGAGCTCATTGCTTGTAATGAGAAGTTTACCATGACACTTTCTGGGCTGAGCTCTTTTTGAGGATTTTAATCCTGTAGACATGTCTATATGGCACCTTGGATGCTTTAACTTTTGTAATGCTGAGAGTGTTCCCACTATAGCCTGCCTTTCCCTTGCAACCACACACCTGGGGGCTGCTGTCCTGGTGCTTTCACTGTGGTAGCCAAGTGCCTTTATCCTCAGGGCCTTGCACAGTTGCATTCTAATGTGTTTTTCTGTCTGTTATGTCTGGTTTCTCCTAAAAATTAATTGCCTTGGGTAAGTGAATCATCCTTTCTTACCCTATTTTCTTACCCTTAGCCTTGTAGCTTTTAGTTTAGAACGTTAGAGCCTACGGGGTAATACAGTAGATAAATAATTTACATATCCAATAAATTTTACTTGTACATTACATGTGCATGGAACATGCAATTCCTGCATCTCATCCAGTGTGCTCTGGTCAGTGCTAACATCATCGCAGGCAGGAGCAACCAGTAATGAGTTTAAGTGGGTTTTGATGAAAACTGTTGTGACTGTTGGCAAACTGGTCTGTGGACTCCCAGCTCGCTGGAGAGGAAGGATGTCCCAAAGAGGAGAGTTGTCAGGAAGATCCCATTGCTTCTGTTCCTCGCTTGCTAACAGGAAGATGGTTTTCCTTCTCCCTTTTCCTCTCTCTTTCTCTCCTTGTTGTGGGTTGTTTGGTTTGATTTGTTTGGGTTTTTTGCATTGGGTTGAGATTTTTGGTTGTTTTCTTTCCCCCTAAAATACCTTTGAAACCCGTGTATGCCATAAATTGGGGATTCAGCTAAAAAACAACAGAAATTTGTGCATATAAGCCTGTCTCGACTTTCATTGTGCATCACCCTTTGCAAAATCATCCTATAAGCAAAATGAATCCATGCTGGTTTATTGGAAGAAACCTTGCCAGCAATTCATTTATCTGTTGAGTCTGGAGGGTTTGGGGCTTGGTGATGTGAAACGTTGAGCAGCCTCATTGCCCAAGTGGTGCAGTAACAACTTCTGTACCAACCACTGCATCCTGGAAGGGAAGCGTGTGTAAGACCACCTGGTAGGAAGAGTATCAGGGAATTCAGTGTTAAAAATTGTACTTAACTCCAAATGCAGTGAAGTGATAAATTCTATCTAAAGAAACATAAATTCTTAGCAGCAGGGAAAGTCACAGACCCTTGTCATGAACATACATCCCTGCTTTTTTTTTTTTTTTTTTTTCCCCAAATCATCACTTCTCCACCTTTTGCATTCTGTAGATCTTTTTACAAGAAAGAACAATCAAGGAAGGTGAACAGGAGGCAGTAGGGTAGATAACATGGTGGAATATGTTTAGTTTAGGTGCAGTTCTGAGACATCTTCACCTTATTTTCTTTGATCCTGTTGCATGATGTAACTATTGATACTTTCTGCTTGTAACTGTAGTGTCATTTTGCTGTGCGTTATTTGAATTTGCAGGCTACAGTTCTGAAGCAAGGACTCTAACTACAGAAGTCAGGCTCTTCTAAGCTATATTTGTTAAGAAATACTGTAGTACTGTCCTCACATCACACCTTGGCTCGCATCAGTCATTGTGCTGGTCTTGGTGGAGGAGAAATAGGAAGAGACCTGCTTCAAACTCTGGGATTCCATGTGTAGAAAAAAATTCCAAGGGAGATCACGCTTAGCTGTCGAATCTATGTTGACTAGCTCTGCATGGTGATAAATTGCTGTTTTGATTTGTTATCCCAGTGGGAGATCCATGGTTAGTGAATTTAAACTTCGGTGCTATAGATGTTTTTCCCAGTCATTGTTGTGGAACCCCTGTGCAGTGGTTCATGGATTCCAAGGAGTCTGCAGATCTCAGTTTGATAATCATTGCATGCACGATCTCTTATTGCTTTTCAGCTCTAATTTATAGCGTATCTATTGGATTATGTGAATTACTTTAACATTTCCACTTCTGGTAGCAGTTCAGAACACAGCCCCAGCAACAACCCTTGCTCTGTTGGTTCTGCAGAGTAAAATCCTGTACAGCTGTAAATTGGTAAATCCCAATGATTTTCCTGTTAATAGCAGATGAAGATCTGATTCTCTAGTTTCCGTGACTGTGCTGGAAGGGACAGTAGCTCTGCTTTGGGCCAGGAGGTTGTACTGTAGCCCTCCAGAGGTCCTTTGCAAACTATGTAACTTTTTAATTCTATATAGAAGAGGATTACAAAGCGGGAGAACATGGAGGTGTCTTACAAGATGGAGAGGGCCACTGGGCAACACACAGAAAGGAATAAGAAAACATACTACAACAGCTTATTTTAGGACGCATTTCTTCAAGCTTCACTAGTGATATTTTACTGTTAGAGAGTAGGGGGGATCCACTGCAAAGCCAGATTTTTTGGAAGGAAATTAATTTGCAAATTCATTAAATATTTTAACTTGAACTGTTCAGCGTCCTAACTGAAGGTTGTGTCCTCTGTGTCCATAGATTTAAAGCCATGGCTTCTTTGGACTTGTAGAGATAAAGATATGTACTACTGGTAAGTCACAGTATTACCTGATGGTTGTAGTCCATCAGGTGACTGCTCCACAGAAGGGGTGTATTAGTGTTATCGAAATCAGTGGTTATTTTGATAAAACAAGCTTTAGCAGTCAGCCCGTGGAAGTTGATACTCAGAGCTGATGACTTTAAGCAGTGGATGATCTAAGCATGGCTGGCTACATCTGCAAACCCTGGGCTTGGATGGTATATTTGCCTGGGCAAGTTCTCCCTCCTGAGAAATGAACTGGTAAGGAGGTGGGTACGTTTTGGAATTGGCTCTTGTACCTGTTGGACATAGACGTAAAATCTGCACACAGAACTCACCTGGATATTTCACAGAGATTATTGTGTAATGACAAATCGTGGAAAGGTGCCTGTCAAAAAAAACCCAGTGCTATCATCTTCTTGCAGCACAGCCCGTAACGCTGTCAAAGCTTTATGTAGCACTTGTTCTAGGTTCTGTTTGGCTCCTGGGGTGCAAACCATAAATTGAGAGGAGAACAGAGTCTCTTCTGTGGCCAAGTAGGTGAAAGGCTGCATTTGTTGCATGGTGTAGCTTTAACAGCACAAAGAGCTTGTGTAGGGGACATAAAAGCCCTGAGTTTAATCATGTAGTCATGAGACCTGAGGAAAAAAAAAGGTGAGAAACACGACAGGAAAGAAAGCATGGAAAAGGGGATATGGAGAAGTGCAAAATGGAGGAGTTTTTGTAGGGAGCACACATAGAAGGGGTATATCTGCCTTCAGGGTAATATAGAAATATGTAAGCTAATGAGTAAGTGAAGGACATCTTGCTGGGTTAGTCTGGAATGGGTGAAAAAACAGGGCAAATTGGTAGTTCAGGTATCTTTAATCTGTGTCATGCATTAGTTTGTTAAAGAAACAAAGACCTTGAAGGAATTGTTTTAAAATGTAGTAGAAATCACAATTTTTGTGTTTGTCATCTCATCCATTTATCCAGTTTTATGTAGAAGTTGGTAAGATCAGATAAGATTCTTTTAATCTGCTTTTTGGAAAGGGTTAGAGTCTTCATTAGTAGCTGGAGGATGATTTTGGGAGCAGCACCCAGCCTGGCACCAGCACGTGGAAATGCACCACAGCTGCACAGTAGCCCTCATGGCTGCA